TGTTGTAGTAGTAATGGTAGTAGTAGTAGTAGTAGTAGCAGTAGTAGTAGTGGTAGTAGTAATAGTATTGGTAGTAGTAGTAGTAGTAGTCGTAGTAGTAGTAGTAGTAGTAGTAGTAGTATTAGTAGTAGTAGTGGTAGTAGTAGTAGAAGTAGTAGTAGAAGTAGTAGTAGTAGTAGTAGTAGTAGTGGTAGTGGTAGTGGTAGCAGTGGTGGTAGGAGTAGTAGTAGTAGTCGTCGTCGTAGTAGTCGTGCTGTCGGAGTAGTAGTGGTAGTAATGATAATAGTAGTAGTAGTAGTAGTAGTAGTAGTAGTAGTAGTAGCAGCAGTACTGGTAGCAGTAGTAGTAGTAGTAGTAGTAGTAGTAGTACGTCGTAGTAGTAGTAGTAGTAGTAGTAGTAGTAGTAGTAGTAGTAGCGGTTGTAGTGATAGTCGCAGTAGTAGAAGAAGTAGTAGTTGTTGTTGGTGGTGATGTTGTTGCTGATGCTCTCGTTGTTGGTGTTGCTGTTGCTGGTGTTGCTGGTGTTGCTGGTGTTGCTGGTGGCGGTGGTGGTGGTGGTGCTGCTGTTGTTGGTGCTGCTGGTAGCGGTGTGGTGGCGGTGGCGGTGTGGTAGTGTTGTTGGTGCTGTTGTTGTTGCTGTAGCTGCTGCTGCTGTTGTTGTTGGTGGTGGTGGTGTTGGTGCTGTTGTTGTTCGGGGGCCGGTTTGGGCACAACCCCAGAATGCTTGAGGGTGAGCATTGTTGTCAAACGAAATGCAGCTGGCGCTGGGGCGAGGGCGCCAGGGCGGATGGACGAGGCCCGCTGCTGATAGTTGTCTAGTAATTGAGATCCAAGAAGACAGTGACAGTAGAAGCATCGGAGAAGCGCGACAACAATCGCATGTAGTGTAGCACTTGGTCTACTCACTGGCGCCCTTTGCCGGCACAGGCGGAGACCCCGCGGAGGCCGACGCGGCGCTGGCGCGGATGCTGGCCCTCGTGGACAGCGGGCCGGCCTCTGGAGGAGGAGGAGCAGGAATATCCAGAGTCGGACGATACTCGTTCCGTTCATCGTCCGGGCACCCGAGGATTTGGGAGTGGGCGGGCCATCGCTGGTTTGCCATGGCCTCTTTGTGTTTGTGTTTTCCATCGCCGTTCGTGCCCCAGCTGCTGCGAGCCCATCTGCCTCGACACCCGAGTTTGGCGAGGAGCGCGGAGGCCGAGCCGGTTCGGGGATCGAGGATCGAGTTTCGCTGCTTGTGGCTGTGAGGTTGCGGAAGTATTTCCTGTTCAGCCTCGAGGTGATGTGGCCTTCCAGTGCGCTCGGCTGCACGAGCCTGTGACAGAGAAGGTCAAGCGCGGGCGGCACCTGCCTACACCGCTCTCAGTAGCCTTCGCTCGGGAAGCGTGTTCCAGCTCGAGCCTCCGGGAGGACTCTCGTGGCCACCCCTGGATGGCCACTGGAATGTTTTCCCAAGCGCACCCTAAGGAGAAGTCCGGGGGCGATGCCCGAGGAGCGACCCTCGAGGCTTGAGGGTCAAGCAGGAGCACAGAGCTCAGGATCGACATCTGAGGGTTGAGGATCGACATTCGAGGCTGGGGGGCCGACATTCGAGGTCTGAGAGTCGAACAGGAGTACGGAGACGGGGTTCGATGCCTTCGGACGGCCTCGTGTTTCCTCCTCCTCCTGCTTCCTGCCCTCCTGCGTCCTGCCCTCCTGCTTCCTGCCCTCCTGTTTTCTGCCCTCCTGTGTCCTGCCCTCCCTGACCTCGCTGCTTCCTGCCCTCCTGTGTTTCCGGCTTCCTCGGTGGAACCCCCGCCCCTCCTGCCCTCCTGCTTCCTACCCTCCTGCTTCCTGCCCTCCTCCCCTCCCTGCCCTCCTGCCTCATCCCCCCTCCCTGCCCTCCTGCTCCCTCCTACTCTCGCGAATGTCCGTGGATCAATGTTGCAAGCGCGACAAGGGCCCTCGGGGTGAAACCTTTTTGGAGACATCTCCCAACCGTGTTTGGGCATTTCCAAAATCTCCAGGAAATCCACGGGCTGGTAAATCTCCAGAGCATTTCCGCGGTGCAGGAACATCCGGGGAATTCTCGCGACAGTGTCCGCGGTGTGGAATCTTTGGGAAATCCCTGAAAGTCTCCGGGTGGAGACAGTCTCCAGAACCCCCCCGAATTGCGCGGAACACGTTCTGGAGCCAGAAGTATTTGGGGAAATTGTTTGGCAAATCTCCGCGGGAGGCCAAGATGGTTGATTGATTCGCGGGAGCATCTTTTGGAGATTGGAGATTCGCGGGAATATGTTTTGATCGTATTCGGCGGGATATGTTGTAGAGATTTCCAGGCGGCCTTGTGTGTCACAATCGATCCAAACAAACTTCATGGCGACCTTCTGGAGGCCCCCTGTTCCCCTGGAAGGCCTTTGCAGACCTTCAGTGGCGCGGCCGCCCAGCTTGTTTTGCTGGGTTTGCTTCCCTCGAGCTTCGCTTGCGCCATGTTCATCGATGTCACCCTCTCCATCGGTTG